ACACACACACACACACACACACACACACACACTTCATTTTTTAAATAATTAAATGCTATATCAGAACTCTTCCAGAGTGACGGGGGGGGGGATTCTTAGCCAAAGTGGAACGTTGGACTGAGATCTGACAGTGTCTCTCTGTCAGAGTCCTTCATTATCACGTCATGATCAAAAGCTTCAACTGAGCAAATTCTGTCAATGTACACCAGAGTATTAGGGGCACTGTTAAGAGAAGAATTTGAAGAAAAAAATGAAGAGTAAAAATATGTAGTCTTTTCCCTCAAAATATGACTTGTTTAGCTTCATATTATTAAGTCTTTTGTTTAATTGTAACATGACTTTTACCTCAAAATTCAGATTCTCTTCTGACATTACACATATTACATTATTTTTCTTTTAATATTATATTTTTCTCAAAACACAACAAATGTCTTATATTATATAATTTATTTTATAAATTCAGACTTTCTCAAATATATTAGAATTCCACTTCCTGGTTTGCTTTAACAGTAGCCCTACTACTCTGCTGTCTTCATAGCATCACCTCCTAGACAACCAAAGCTGACACGATCACGCCTCTAAAAGATAACGGATGAAATGGTTGTTGATGAAAACAGAATCCCTGAGTTACATTTTCCAGGTGAAGACGTGACATTTTATGACTTTTCTTTCTTTGACAGCTGAAATTATTCCTCAACATCGTCTGTTGTACAGTGAAAGGTAAAATAAAGCAGTAGGCCTACCAAAGTTAAAGTCCAAGAAACACTCGCCAGCTGTCAGAGGACAAAGTCTTTGTTGAATCATGATTGAAGTAGAAAAACTGGACATAATAACCAACACGCTTTGTAGAAACCAGGGTGCATAAAAGTGCTTGTATAAAGGAAAAATAACTCAATTTTTTCATATATTTACATATCCTTTTTTTGTGCAGTTTTAGCTAGTAGATGATGGTAAAATGCAGGCCGGTGACTTACGGAGAGATAACATATCTCATTATAACGATGAGAGACAGGGTCTCCTCCACTGTAAACAAGGAATTAAATAGAGCGACTGCACGCTGGCATTAATTGTCTTCAGCAATAACATCAGTCTCATTCAGCTGAACAGGACAGCTGGGGTTAAGTACATTTTTGGGGACAAAGTGCTGTGTTGTCTTCAGACACATCATCATAAAATCAACTCACCTCGGCCTCACCGAAGACTTTCAACTTCCTGAGACTCAGGCCCTGACCAGAAACAAGCCCTGGAACATTATATTAGGTAGTAAGCATGTACAATGACTTCAAATGAGCCAATTTGTAGGAAGAAAATATGAACTATTAATATTAAATACTAACAGGAGTTTGAATTCCTTAAGCCCCTTTTTCCTATTAGTGGGAAATCAAAAGGAACTTGGCTGCTGGTGTTTAAACTCACCACAGTTCATTTAGCACTAAATCACCCAGCATTTACTAATGGATTGGTTGAAAAGTGACTTATTGCGGGGCGAGTGGGTGATAAACTGCACCTGGTGAGTTAACTGCTAGCATGAAGGCTATCCATTAACATGCTAACGGTAGCCGGCCACAATAGCGCCAAAAATTGTCACGTCACAAAGGCTGGGCCGCGGTTAAATCGTTTTTGCTTAGGAAGGTTCCAAATTGAATTTCTCCAGATGTATCTGAGTGGAAGCCATGATAAGAATCCTCTAAATACTAACCAACATACCGCTGTCACATTAGCACGTAGGCTAATGTCAGTGCCTCTGAACACCGCTCTGTCTTTGCCTCATTTATTAAGTTCTTATGAATTCTCTTTCACATTTCTTCTTGAGCTTGATGGTAAATGCCATCAGGCCAAGAAAAAAACATTTATTTTTGTTTATTTGACCGCAGCCCTTCAGATTTTATGTGATTTGTACTAGTAGTGAAGGTCAACGGTTTTCTTAATCAGATGCCATGTGTAATCTGTCAGGTTATTTGAGTAGAAATGATTGACCTTATTTGACTCTGGGCTCTCCTACATCACCAGGCAGGTGAGTGCGGGTCATGTTCTATCTTGGTTTCCCCTTACTGTTCTTTCCTCTGCTGGGATAATTATCCAGCTCCTTTTGAAAGGTTTACCATTATTTTGGGCACACATTTAGAGGTTTCATCTAGCTTCTGGTGTGAGAAAGGTTTTTTGTTACCATAAATATTAAATCATTTGTATTATAATTTATTACTAAATCTAAAAAGGTTCACATAGAGCTGAACCATACTTTCTTTTTTTAGGCCATGACATTAAGGTTGTGATATTTTAAGGTTGTGACATTTCCTACCTGCCCCTTTAGTCAAAGCATACCAACATTTTGAAAGAAGGGGGAAAAAGGGAAAATTGCAGTATTTGTCAACCTTAGTGTTATTCTCAGATTGTGTCCATTTTCCAAAACGCTTTACTCTGCACCTGCAAAGTAGAGATTAGGACAAAAGCAAGAATAGAATAAAACCCTGTTCGACAAAAAACACATTTCCCTTCAACCCCCCTGTTTGTTTGGGTCAAATCTGACCATTCTACTACTTTCATCAATCAATTCTGATCACCACTTTCATTGAGTTTTGAGTGGTTTAGTCAACTTTGATGTTCCTGTTCAAAAATGAGCCCCATAGGAAATTAATGGATAACCCTAGATGATGTTCATCCATCAGAAAGTACACTCCACAAATCAACAACCATGTTGATTTTGGAATACATTTTCACTGTCTAATCTTTGTATACTCACTGCAGTTATTCATGTAAACCTGTCAGAGACATTGTTTAAAGATTAATAGGGTGTTAAATTAAATTTGGTGGTAAGTTTTTGTGTTAATGTAAGTGCAGTTAAAGCAGACAGGTCCCATTTGACCAGGAACACCAAAGTAAGGGAACGAACACGACAGCAGGGTTAAAAAGAAGAGGGAGGGCTGTTTCTGACAAGGGGCCACGCGAGTAGCGACGGACGGAGGCCCTTTCTAAGTGCCAGAGTGTGCTGTGGCGGGGGCCGGCTGGGTGGGGCCGTGGTCCTGGGGGGAGCAGCAGTCCCCTGAGTGTGTGAAGCTGGGGGCCGTCTGGCTGTAGCTGAGCAGGGCCTGCTGCCTCTCCTGGGCGCTGTAGAACAGGGAGTGGGGGTGCACCTGCTGCACGTGCCTCTTGATGGTGCTGACCTTCAGCGTGGCCAGCGTTGCGCCGCACACCATGCAGGTGAGGCCGTGTCTCCGGCAGTCGTAGTCCATCAGAAAGTCCCGCCTCCAGCGCACCTGGTAGTTCCTGCGCTGGTCCTTGCCGGGGTAGTGGCTGTGACGGGGGGAGGGGGCCCGCGGCGCCCTCCTCTCTGGGTTTACTCTTGGCTGCGCTCACGCCCTCCTCCTTCTTTATCACTTTGCCGTGCGTCCTGACATCAGGGGGGCTGTCCTCGTCCGTCTCTCCCAGGGGGTTCAGGACCTCAGCTTCACTCGGGGGGGTTTCTGATGAAACAGAGAGAGGAAACGCTGTAGCCAGTGGTGTAAAGTAACTAATTACATTTACTCAAGTACAATTTTGAGGCACTTGTACTTTACTTGAGTATTTCAATTCTTTGCTACTTTGTACTTCTACTCCACTACAGTTCAGAGGTAAATGGTGTACTTTGACTCCACTACATGTATTTAATACCTTTAGTTACTTCACAGATGTGGATGAATGATGTGAAATATAATCAAGTGTTAAATCAGACTTTAGTTCCACCTGGAGTAAATTCACAAGCTACCCTGCAGTATACAAAGTCATTCAAACTAGCTGCACCTTTACCAGCTTTGAGAACACTCTAATGTACTTCTACTTTTACTCAAGTACAAGATCTGAGTACTTCTCCCACCTCTGGCTCAGAATAAGAAACAGCTTTATTACCAGGTAGGTTTACATGTACGAGGAATTTGTAGGTAGGCTGTAGGTAAACAAAAAATGAAACCACCATACTTTTGTTTGCCAACTCACACGGTGAATTCAGCATCATGAACATCTCTATAGCTCTAATTGTATCATTATAGTAGGATATTTGTTGGAGCTATATATTCATTTGTATCATTTAATAGTTTAACATTCAATTTCTTGCTGCTATTGTTTCTAGTAAATAATAATAATAATATATTTTATATTGTTTGTTATAATAATAATAATAATAATTCATTTATTTGATATAGGCGCCTTCCAAGGCTCTAAAGGTTATACTGCTCTCCTTGCCAGGACCCTTGTCTGTCTAGCAGATTGGTCTATTAAGAGAATAAGAATGTATTCTGTATATTTTATAGTGTGTAGATTCTCATATGAATATATGTATTTTCAATGTGAATATGTATATATTGCTTTTGATGTTTATTTTATTTGTTTCTATTTTTAAGAAATGTTGCAATTCTTGTACATTGACTGTCAAAATGCTGCTGTGACAAAACCATTTCCCAACTTGGATAACTAAAGTATCGATGTACCCAACTTAAACACGTTCTGAATCTCAAGGGAAATATTTATGATCAAATAAATACATCCTACACACCGTTCTGAATGTGCGAGCCCTCGCTGGGGTAGTCTTTGGTCCAGGCGGCGGCCATGGCCTCCCTCTCCCCCCGGCTCAGGGTGGTGGTCTCGGGGTGACACTCCTGGATGTGTCTGCGAAAGCTGCTCACCTTGATCTCCTGCAGCACCTGAGAGCACACCATGCAGTAGGTACCCCGGCCCGGGGGCCCATAGGCCACCAGGTAGTCCAGGCGGAGCCGCCACGGGTCCCCCATGCGCAGCCGCCTCTTCCTGGGCTGCCGGGGGGGCGGGGGTCCCTGCTGAGGAGCTCCAACCCCCCCGTCCTCACCGATGAGACAAGCGTCCTGAGTTAAAGTGCCGTCGTCTTCGGGGTACAGGTCCGTGTGGAGCTGCAGGGCCCCCACCTCCTGAGCAAACAGCTCCACCCCCCCCTCTTTGGTGTCCGGCTCTGATTTGATTGAGGTTTCTGACTCTTCTGTGATGGGACAGAGAATCATACAACACATGAAGATTAGAAGACATACAAAGATGAGTTACTTTTCACAATAACTACAGTTGGTAGGACAATATATCCCAAACATGTGTGCAATACATTGTTTCTTAAATGTTCATTTCTAAATGGAAAATACCTCGAGGATAAATCCTTATTAATGTTCATGTTTATTAATGTGCACTGTCAGGGTTAAATAAACTAATAATACAATTAAAAGAATAGGACATTCTTTTGCTACTAATATAATTATAATATATTATAATAATAATGCTAAAATTGACTTTATTCACAAAAAATGCTTTTAAATAAATAAATTGAACATGTGTCACATGGGTATAGGCATATGCTGCCTGTCCAGTTCCTCCATCGTGAGGATGAACACTGCTTTGTTACTCTACTAAAACCCCAAATGTGCCAGGGGGGTCTGAGGGAACTGTTGCTGAAACAGTCTTTATGGTTCCATTGTTGCTCATGCAGCACAATGAGTAACTCCTAAAGTCAACAGACATGGACTTTGGTCGGGTGGGGGCCGTGTTGGAAGATTCAAGAGGGTGACGGGGCTCACCCTGTTACCAGGGCAACACTGATCCCGATACGTAGTGATAAAAAGGGTTGATGGACTCTTTGATTGTGTGTGTGACGTCAGCACATTTCAGATAAGACTGAATGACAGGATGAACTATCCAGAGGTTGTGATAGGTCAGAGACTGTGCTCTTACCGTGAGCCTGGGCCCAGGCCTGCAGGATGCAGTGCTTCTCCTCGGAGCTGAACACCAGGGAGTGTGGGTGTGTGTCCAGCACGTGGCTCTTGATGTGGTCCAGGTGTAGCGAGGGCAGCTCCCCCCCACACACCATGCAGAGCAGCCGGCCTGCCTCCGCCTCGTACTCCATCAGGAACTCCTGGCGGAACCAGGCGTGCAGCGAGTCGTTCAGGTAGCGCTCCAGAGTCTGGGCCGAGGGCCCGGGGCCGTCCTGCTCCTCCCCCTCCTCCTCTTCCTGCTCCTCTTCCTGGGGCGGGGGGGCTTCACCCTCATCAGAGCCAGGGGACAGACTGTGGGGTTGTTGAGGCTGCTCCTGGTGGGTCAAAGGCTCCAGGGGTTCTGCTGGATTTAGAACATGTAAAACAAAACTAAGTTTTAAAGCTGGTTTGGGGAGTAGCAATGATGTTTTTGATATGTCTACATTCAAATGATAGAGGGTTCTTTAGTTTGCTTATTAACACTTGGATGGCCTGTTTCACCGTTTGAACACAGAGATAACAAAGTGATCATATACATGACGTCCTTTATGAGCACATGACACATGTTGAAATAAGCAAATTATGTGGGAATAAGGGAAGGCATCAGCTACATTTCATTTGATGAATAAAACAGATAGGGAGGGATTTATTTTCAATCACAGGAAAATGTTATTTTAAATAAAGTCCTTATAACTACACTGGAATGAAACAATACATGTTTTTCCCCAAAATAAACCCTTTTTTCTTAGACCCAAATGTGCACTTGTTGGGGGTGACACTTTAATTGTAAAAGAAGAGACACTTATTCACTTAGAAATTATCAGTTCAAACATTTAAATTGACCTGTTTGACCTATTTCAGTATTTCTTTTCAGATTCCATTTCAAGTGGGATTGATGCACAGTAATTCACTTTGAATGTAACTGCTACATTCAAACGATGTGGTTAGAGGACGCCAATGCTAATCCACAGTGATCATGAAAACATGAAAAGGGAAGTACTTGTTGTTACTGAAAGCAGAAAACCAAGGCATTTACAGGAAGGAAGCCCCTGTGGGCTGGCCTCCAACGCTACGTGGCTCAAATGAAGTCAGTGTATGTTGGACACACTGCTCCAGTGTCTGAACCAGGTCTGAATCCTGTAGCTCTGACCTGCTGTAGCTACCTGACCATCGTGCTTTAAGAGAAAAACCGGACAGAAAGTCCGGTTAAAGACCGAGGTGGGAAGAAGTGAAGGACAAATACTTTGTTCCTATACTTGAGTACATTTTTCTGGTATCCGTACTTTACTCCACTATTTTTTCTGAAAACTTTTTACCTTTACTTCTTACATTTTCAAAACAGGCTCTTCTTTAGTTTTGATCTGCATTTGGTGGCGTGGTTATTATTATTTAGAATCATTGCGTGCCTTTTTCAACCTAATGTCATACAGAAAACAAGACCGGTGTATGTATGATGATGACAATGACAGTATTACAGTTTGAAATATAAGTTCTTTAATGTTCTAATAATATAAAGTGAGGTCCAGTTACCAGCTTGACTCTATAAAACAGGTGGCTACTTTTTAGTTAAGTACATTTCAAAGCCCATATTTCTTAATTTTTTACTTGAGTAAAAAAGTTAGGTCAGTTCTTCAATCTTTGCCAGAGTATTCTTGAACAAGAGTATCTGTACTTCTACTGTAGTAAAGGATGTGTGTACTTTTGCCATCTCTGGTTAAAGGTGGAATCTTTAGAGCTGCAGCATTTGCTTTCTTACCAACATACACTTTAAAAGCCTATTATTAGTGTAAGCTAGCTAGCAGTGTTCTTCTCTCCTTCCTTTGCATACACATTGTTTTGTTTCTTAGTGATATCTACTGCCAATTACACAAACAAATCCTGAAACCATTGGCAGTGATGGTATTTCATTTACATTTTGAGGGATACACTTATTTTAATTCAGTCTAGCTTAGAATAAAGACTGAAATCGGGGCTAGCCTGGCTCTATTCCAAAAGAACCATACCAAACCCTCTCAAGCTAACTGATGAACAGGATGTATGCATTGGAGTCAATAGTGTTTCCTTGGTTTGAATGTAGAACAAATAGCTTATTTAAGCAGTGCTGCTTGACTATTTGGAAATATCAGATTAGACCAGAAGCACATGAACACAGTATAATAACTACTTTTGGGCCTTTTTTTTGGAAGAAGCATAGTATTGGCTGTTTTTGCCTTGTAAAAAGGTGTGAAAAGGCTGGATTAGATTGCTTTTTTAAACATTATCCAATTGTATGATTTTAGTTTTCTTCATCTGAAATATATACCACAGGCTTCCTCAGAACAGTCTCGTCCAGGCACATTCCCCCCTCTGCAGGCCCAACTATACATCAGGACTGAATCATGACATCACCCTCTCCTCTCACACCACCATGCCAAGGCATAAAGCCACACTGCCACCAAGTGTGACATGTAGAAAGCTCCTACCCACCGGCACTGTGTTGGTCTGAGTCCAGCTGCTCCTCCTCTTCCTCAGGCGAGGGTCCCGCAGCAGAACTGAATGCCCTTTGACCCCCGCCCAGACTCAAGTGGCTCTCCCAGCCTGAGCGGATGACCTCCTTGTCTGCGGAGCTCCACAGCAGAGAGTCCGGGTGCTTCTGTCGGATGTGCCTCTTGATGGTGCTGAGCTTCAGGGTGGCCAGCGAGCTGCCGCACACCATGCAGATCATCCCGTGCCGCTGGGGGTCGAAGTCCATCAGGTACTCGCTGCGCCAGTATTCGTGGTAGTAGCGGCGGTGGTCTCGGCCGGGGATGCGGCTCAGGCCCGGGCGCGATGCTCTCTGGACCCTGGGTTTGTGTCCGGAGGGCCCGGGGGCCGGGGAAAGCAGGGGGGGCTGGTCCGGGCCCTCTGTGATGCTCCAGTAGCTGGTGCCTGGGGACCCGACAGGCGTGACCATGCCGGCCTCTGACTCCTCCTCATGGCCGTTGGCAAGACAGTCCTCATCTGACAGAAACAAGAGAAGTGTGATTTACATGTTGTTATGGTGGCTAAACATCTCAAAAGGCACCCTCATGAGTTTGGATCACCAGTTCTAGTTTTCATCTGTTACCGGTTCCTAATATGGGCTATTTTACCACTTTTATGCATTAAAGAATGATATAAATTACATCAACAATTAATATTCTTCTTTTATTGTACGACTGTTATACTAGGAACAACTTCCACTGTTTCTATAAGTGTGAGATAAGTTGTTCATTTAAAAAAATAAAATAGGCCTGTTACACAGTTTCAATTGTGCATTGTAAATGTACATCTTAATGAATAGCATCTGGTTCCCAATAATAAAAAATAGAAATAGTATGTGCTTCTATAAAGAAAAAATATCAGACCCATAAACACTCACACAACTTTGGTATCAGCCACAAAAAAACATGTTTGGATCAGGCTTTATTCTCTGTGTCCCGGCCATTGCGTAGTTTACCTTAATGTGAGACTATTCTTTCATACACAGATTGTGGTTGTTCACAGGCCTCCCTTGATTTAAATTGCACATTTAAAGAAAGAAATAATCAATTCGAGATGTTATTCAAATGTGATATTCTCAGATGTCATTGTTTGGCTTCAGATGATTGACAGCTGGACATTTTCCAATTGGATTTCTAGCACTATCACTCTTTATAAAACAACTTTGAAACACAGTTTGCAAACTGTTCAAGTCAATTGAGAGTTTTAAGTCCTACATAAAGGAATCTCATGAGAATACAATAGAAGAATTGGGAGGGATGAAACCCTCTTTAATGGTCTCACATGTAGAGCACACAGTACACACTGTGAAAGGTGTTCTCTGCTTTTATCCTAGTACCAGGAGTCTAGAACTAGGAGCAGTGGGCAGCTATTGCACAGCGCCCAGGCGGCAATGGGAGTGAGGGGGGAAGGGGGGTGTCCGGTGCCTTGCTCAAGGGCACCACGGCAGGGCAGGAGGTGAACTGGGACCTCTCTAAGTAGCAGTCCACACTCCATTATTTCGGGGACTTGAACCGGCGACCCTACGGCTCACAGTCCAAGCCCTTACTGACTGAGCCACTGCCGGTGTAACATATATCTAATATGGATTATGTATTCGAATCATTCGAATAACCCATATTATTATTGTGTATCCATTGGTATGAGTCTGCCGGTACCAGTGCTCTCCACTAGGTGGCGCCTGAGTGCCTTGGTACGCCTGCCTGCGTGCTGTTGAGCCTTTGTTTATAGGAGCCACAGAGACGGACGGGCCATGCTGCTCCATGGCATTGTCCCTACACGGATTAACTGGCTGTCTGACAATGGCCGTGGCTCTGACAGCCACGCAGTCCCACTTTGCGGTGAGAAACACCAAGAATAATAACACCAGGTTTTTTCTTTACCTCCCAAGTCACTCTCCTCTCGCGTCGCTTCCTCCTCCCCGCTTATTATTAATGAGAGCAGCTCAGCCTGCTCGGCACACCGGAGGTCCACAGGCTCGCTCTCCCCCGTCTCTTTCTCTTCCATCCCTGGCCTGGCCGCTGTTCAATAGTGGCTGCTGTTCCTCCTTCTTCACTGTGTGGCAGTGCAGAAGCGGGACATGTCACACTGAAACAACATGTTACAACAGTGACATGTTCACACCGCTCGGCTCCGCTCGACACGCATCTGGCAGCAGGCGCTCGCGGAGGAGCCCGTGCTCTACGATGTCCCCCACGCGCCCCGCACGGGAGCCAAGTTAACTTTTCATAAAATCACACTGTCATGTATTCCGCTGGAAATCCACTTCCTCCGCGCTGCGCTGTGTGGTGGCGCCTCGGTGAAGGCCTCCAGTAATGTATTTTAAGGCTCTTGCTTGTCTTCAGGGTGGGGAGCCGGACTAGGGGCCCCTGGGGCTCCTTAAGGGGCTCCTGGGTAAATTTAAAGAGACAGTAGCAGCGTCGACAATGCACACCCACCCCGGGGGGGGGGGGGGGGGGAGCAAACGTAGCAGCAGGCGCTAATACTGATAAGCTGCTAATACTAATGCGGTTGTTCTCACAAAATCAAGCGATGACAGAAGCGCTTTGGTTCGGCAGAGCATCGGTTAAAACGCGAGGCGGGTCCATGGGGAATCAGGGCCCCACGATGAGCTCCAGCTCATATGTTGTGCTGGTGATCCCCTGAAGGATACTGTTTTTAAATGAAATCCTGTGTCTAGTGTTGTTATAAAATGAGCTATATTGTGGGTATGCTAGATAATAGCTTGCTTGATTATAAATAGCGCTGCAGCTAACTGCTAGAACATTTGTAACATGTTTTCTTACTAATCAACTGCAGTTCTACATAGATAATTGTATCAGCCCTATTTTTGTATGCTATTTGTAGCTATTCAATTCATACTGGAATTAAATCATTATAATTTAGATGGAGTTTTAGATTCCCTTGAAAATAGATTTGGATTTATGACGAGATGATTTACAAATGTGTGTAGGCCTACTGCTAAGCCCATCAATGATGCACATTTGGTATGATAGCCTATATTGTTATAATATTCCAACCATAAATCGCACTGTGGCCCTATCCCTGATGGCTCTGCTCACGAATCGAGGTCATCTGTAGAAAAATCCAATAAATCAATGGACCTTTGTCCAGCAGCTGCTCCAAGTTGTTAAAGACTATATGTGACTGCCTGTTTATGTAATCACTGTGCATTTTCTGGATGCTGTTTAGATTGGTTATGTATGTAGGCATGTAGTTCCAAATGTCACTAAATATTGAAGTAAAACAAGCTTAGACAAGCAAGCCAGGCTGGTTGTAATTAATGCATGCAAGATAAAAAGTCAATTTTTTTTATATTGATATCATTTCTATGCTAGGATTTGAAAAGAAGGGGGCGTTTCACTGTGCTGTCTCTGTGTGTCCACAACGTATAGTACACGCATACACACGCGCGCGCATCCAGGTCCTACATCCTGGTACTTTTCAGCGTTGTCAAGGCAGCCTCAGAGCACGGTTGGCTGGCGGAAAGTAGCTGCAGTGTCCTGGCAACATATCTGTCCAAAAACGTTCACAAAAACTGTCCCGGAAAGTTAGGTGTAACTAAAAGGTATCGGGTATGCATGTCTTTCTTACACATGTTTCCAAACGGCCTGCTTTACGACAGTAATGCGCGGGTTTTCTTCTTTTAGACAGGCAGCACACTCAGACAGTCCGTGTGGACAGAGCAGGAAGATCCTGTCCATTGTGCCTGAGAGAGACACAGCGTTCAGGCTCGATTTACGCCCGGAAGCTGCTTCTTATTCACCATATTTCTGTGTGTATCGTTAGTTAGGCATCAACTGGGTCGTTTCGCTGCGTTTATTATCAAATAGACACCGAAAAAAGAATAAAAATGGCTCTCGACAGATATAATTTGTGATAGAGAGGGACAGGTTTAAAGGGACAGTGTCGCTCTGCTTCCTTCCTGGTTCCTGTAGCTCTACATAATGCTACATGCACGCGACGTGTTTGTATCAGCAGATATGCTGTGGTTTGCAGATATTTTGTATTCATAGTTGTAAATAGCACATTTGAATATTCAGCCACTAAAAACATTTAGCCTGTCTCACGTGGGAATCGTGTTGTGAGATAGGAGATGGGCGTCTTAGCTTACACATGCATTGTCTTGATCTGCACGTAATCCATTTAAACAAGCGTCACTGCAAAGAGAAACACTTGCACGAGGCCAAATGTAATTTATCTCTTTAGTAATAAATCAAGAGTTACTTCGTAAGCATGTTAAATTCATGTTTTCACAATTATCTTAACTATTTGTGAATCCATTGCATATTAACTGTTTTAAATGTGATAAACCACATGAAAAATTAACTGGGAGTCATATCTAATCTAAACTCACGTGTATTCCTTTGTTTTACAAGGGAGAAATATCTGAAAATCCTTTCGCTTTCGGACCTGTTCACGTGTGCTTTTTGTAGGAAACAATATAAATGGTTTGATAATGTGCTTCAATACGGCTTACTAATCAAATTCATGTCATACATTTTAGATCACACTGTCTTTGATATCAGGATTGGGACAAAGTAACATGCAACTAAGACTTTTTTTTTTTTCTCAGGTCGTATGCATACTGATGTGATGTTTGAGAGATTTGGCAGCTGCTCAGCAGAGCAACACACCTACTGCGGCTTCATATAGGAGGACACCATGTATGTTAATGGAGGGACGACTAAGGGGATGAATTGAATCAGTGTGACAAGGGAATAGCCAACCAGTACTTTTGGACGAGAACTGATGGGCTGCCCAAGCTTGCGATGCCAACTGCAAAAGACAAAGCTGGTTCAGCGTCCCACCGCTACCGGCCGGCCTCGGAATATGATGATGCCACCCTCACCCAAAAGAGACAATACTGGAGAACAAAGAAACGAGAACAGAGGGCCCGACTGACAGAGCGCAGAGGAAAGTCCTCACACAACAGTCAAGGGGGAAAGTTCGTACATCTACACGCCCCTGCAGCGGGGAATTCCACTTTATCCGGCTCTTTTGCTGCTTTCTCCTCTCCTTTGCAGAGTAACGATGACTCGTACAAAGCAGTCAACGTATCTCCTGCACCACAGACTGGGAAAAGAGTGGGGGACAGCTCAGTTGAAGCCCCTGGCAGAAAGGAGAAATGGCTCAGTACGATGGAACTCAACAAGGTCTTGCCTCAGTTCACTGCATCAAGTTCCATCCCTGCCAAAGCTGCTAGGCGCAACGTAGCTACAGTAAGGGGTGCTGTGAGTAGAGCTGTCACCTCTCACAGTGGAACCCAGCTGAACCCCCCCTCAGTGCCTCCAGTCAGAGTGACCAGAACCACCAACGGCAGCTCCGCTAAAACACAACCTCAGCCATGTGTGTCTATGCAGGGTGCGTCAGTCCCAAAAACGCAGAATGAGGCACAAGTTGTATTACGCATTCAGCCCAAACTCTCACCCCCCAATGTGACCACAGGTATGATTATTGTGTCTTCTCCATGTGTCCCGGTTTCTATTAAAACAGAGGGTCAAACAGAGACACCTCAGAGTGGAACAAAGAGTGCCTTGGTCACCACGCAGAGGGTTAAAGTTGTTAGCAACTCGCACTCTGTCATGGAGCCAGAGGACCAGAGAGCAGCCAGGCGCAGAGAGCAATGGCGGATCAAAAAGCGAGAGCAGAGGGCGAAGCAGGCAGCTCAGGTCGCTAAAGCGAGAGAAAAGACACAGAGCGGTGAGATGACGATGGCAAGGCAAACAGCACAGAAAGCAGGACTTGTAGGGGGCGCCATTCTTCAGCATCTTCCATCTCAGTCGTTGTTGAGAGGAGCCGCCCAGAAGCAGTGTCCTACCCGGGTAAAAACTTCCTTTACATCTGCCAAAAGGGAAACGTATAAACTGCAAAGTTGGGCAGCAAGGTTAGCTACAGTTAACCTACAAACTAATCGGATAATACCCCAAAACCCACATGGGAATAGGACATCACAGACAGCCATCACATGTAATGTTATATCCGTGAGAAAGCGAGGAGAGACACAGAGAAAGCTTCCAAGTTATGTAAATATTTCTAATGTTTCCAAAGGGATCGCTCGTTGTAAAACACCTAGGCAAAGGATTATCGACGCCCAGAGGAATTTCATGAATCAAAGAAACATAAGATGTAAATCCCCTTTTCTTTCTTCAGTCTTTGGTAGCAGAAATATGCCCCAAATCGACCCCAACGACACACCTGAGCAGATCATAGCCAAACGGCGAGAGTATTGGCGGATAAAGAAGCGCGAGCAGCGAGCTAAGCTGTCAATGGAAGTGAGGGGTCGTTTGATGGAGAAGGACTCTCTGATGCGAAGAGTGAAGCGTTACCAGGACATCCTAGAGGAGATAAGGAGGGCCAGAGCCATGGCCCAATCGGGAGGAAGCACCCTGACCAACGCCTCTGAGACCATTGGAGGGTTCATCAAAGAGGATGGGACACTGACCATTAACATTCCCCAGGTTTCTACTGATCACAACACTGCGGCACGTAGAGGTGAAGAAGAAGCTAATAATACACCCATCTCAAAACCTCAGCATCCACCTGATACTCAACAGCAAGGCACCACACCCATTCCTGTCAACCAGCCCCCCCCTCCACCTCACCCTACTCAGGTAAGAGTCACTTTTCCTCCTGCTGGACAGTCGGTCAACAAGCCTCCGAGACTACTGTCAATCAGACCAAGGACTCAACTTGAAAGCACAACTGTTAGTAATTCACACAAGTCAGCAATCCAAACTGTTAGTCAGATCAGACTCACTCGTCCTCAAATCTCTCAAAACACCGTTACTGGAGGAACGACAGCAGGGTCTAACCTCGGTGGCTGTGTCATGAAAATGACCGTCTCGAGTAGTGCGGTGTCTCTGTCCGCGCTCTCTCTGGATCCAGCGCTAACAGAGGAGGAGAGGATGGCTAAAAAGAGGGAGTACTGGAGGATAAAGAAACGAGAGCAGAGGGCAGCTCGCTCTGCTCGACTGAAGCAGGGGATCTTACATGCCAGGGCCACGGCAGCCTTACAGAGGAGGAGGGCCCAGAAGCAAGCAGCAGCAACTACTGCCACACAAGGTGGGAGTCTCACAGGAAACGCACAATCTCTCCCCAACAACAGTGTGCCTATTACGCCAAATGCAAATGAGATAAAACAAGAGTCTGAGCCTGTGCCAGCAGTTGACCTAAATTCTCAACCAGAACATGCCATCTGTCCAGAAATCAGCCCCCCCACCTCCCCACCACCACCACCTCCAGCGCCTCAGCCGGAGCCTGACCCAGCTCTGAGTTCAGACAGCCAGGCTACCACTCTGCTAGCCGTGGCCTCCATGAAGAAACTCCTGGAAGAA